CTTTTCCTCCTTATCCTTTTTTTCGTGGAATCTCTTCTCGCCCCTCATATATCAATAAATAGAGGGTTCGGATTCATTGTTTTACAAAACTATTGTTGTAAATTTTATAAATCAAATTTTCTCGATTTGTTTCCTACCCAGTACTATAATACTATAAATTGTGTACGTCAAATTTTAACAATTTAAATTTATTTAATTATCTTTAGAAGAATAGCTTTATAAAACAATAAATCTGCCAGCATCCATTTTTTTTAATCTATGAGTGGGGATGGGATTCTAAGGAAAAGAAAAATGAGAGGATCTGAATTATCCGTTAATTCTCATCCTCAAACTGTTAAAACTTATAAGAACTAATTAACTAATATAATTCAAATGGATTAAGAAATTAAAATAAGATAAATTATTTATAAAAGAGTATACTAATTTTCTTAAAATACTTTTCTTAATTATTTGTATTGGAGTATATTAACAACTATAACTTGCACATCATTGGGAAATCTAATTATATGAGTAGTTTAAAAAATAATAATAAGATACAAATGATATCAAGATTATTATCGCACCACCCACAATATTACCTTGAGCATCGCAGACTTTGTATACAGCAATTCTAGCAAATGGAACCCCTCCTCTCGCAGTGCCTTCTGCCATACCATAAAAGCTTGTGCCATTAACGTTGTTTCCTGCTGCTTTTGAGGCCGTATGAGATCCATGCCCGGCATTGTCTCTTGCAGAGTCTTCCTTGTAGAATCGAACTCCTATGACTTTGTTGTTGCGTGTGAAGTTTTTCCCACCAGCGCATGTTCCTAAGATGCAACATAGAATAATGCAAATAGTAAGAGAAATCATGACTTCCAAAGCATCCTCATTATGTGTTTTATTAAGGATATTACTAATACCTTTCCATTTTTTTGGAGGAGGACCAAAACCTTGATCTGTAAAACTCTCTGATTCAGGCCAAATTCCAGTGTCAAGAAATCCGATTATGACGTCACTTTCAGCAGACACGTTACGTTTGGTTTTTTCGACCAAACCAACGAAGTCCCACAATCTGGTTGTATGAGTGTGAAGTACTGTGTATGGAAAAACGGATACCACTTCTTCCATTTGAGCAATCTTTTCTCTTTGCTCTTCTGTAAGCTTTGCAGCGAACCCATTGAAACTTCTCTTGTAGCTTCGAATCAGTAATGAACTTGCGGCATCATCAGTTTCTCCAGTAACTTGTTGAAGCATTCTCAAATGATGAGAAGTCGGAGAGTACGATGATTCCTGAGGAAGTGATCCCATGTAGACTATGTAAGTTTTCATGTGTTCAACATCAGGATAAGCATCGCATATTAAGGGAATTACTATACACGCGAATAAAATAATTGAAGAACGCTCAGCCATTGTTTTGTTTCACTGCAGGAATGCGAATGGTATTGAGGGGCACTACATACATATAAATTAAAGTAGAAAAGGGAGGACAATTTATTGCTAATGAATTGCATTTGATTTACACACACATATATGTAACAAATCTGACCTTTGTAAACTTTCAATCCCAACATATGAAGAATCCAAATTCTTGAATTTATTTTAAAGTATACCACTCTGGTCTTTAATATAAGTTATTTGTATTAAGGAATGCATTAAATTGACAAAATTTTTCCCATTTTACCCTTATTCTCTCTTTATATTTACAAACCTTTCTTATACTTCTCTCTTTTTTCTCTTTACAATAACAATTAAATAATAGTAAAATTAAAAATTTTTTAATTATACTATAAATGACTTATATTTATGACCAAAACTTTTCTCCACAATTACATTTAAGGCCAGAATGGTAGTTAATCATGGTAACAGGACAGGTGCCATGAATGTAGGCTAAATTTAATTGCATTGAATGGAGATAAAAGAAAATATTATTTTTATTGTCATTAAATGCAATTGAAAAAATTATGTTATGTCTTGTTTTTTTTTTTAAATTTCAATTTCTCTGAACTTTTCTTGCCTACATGACCCTTTCCCTCCTGTTAGGTACTTTTTGATCATATATATAAAAGAATTTTTTAGGGATGACTTTTTGTTATTCAATCAAGGAACAAAAAACCGGACCAGACATTAAACTGGTCAAGACAGTGGGTTAAGGGTTACTGGTCGAACCGAGATCGAACCGGGGTCGGACCGGTCATATTAAAATAATATAATTTAATTCATATTTAACTAACTTACTTTTTATATTTAACTAACTTACTTAATTTTTTTAATCTAGTCGAATTAATTAAATATACATTATATTAAAGATTGGAGGAGTGTGTTATATTGAATGAGATATGTTAATTTTGGATTCAAGAAAGAGAAGAATTAGCGAGGTCCATTATATAGATAGCACGAACGGACAGTGGAGAATTATCTTGGCAGCAACAGACGTGAGCGAATTTATCTTGAAGGCGCGACTCTTGTTTCTCCTGTGACAGCAACAAGAAATGTGGAGCAGAGCATATTATATGTTGCTAAGAGCAATCTAACCAGTGAGCGACCGTGAGCGTTAGGCTTCATGATTTTCCTCCCTTGAATCCAATTCAGGGATTTTCGGTTTCAGATCTGCCGCAGACTACGAGGACGTTGAGGGAGATCAGACTAGCTACAACTGCGATTTTGGAGCTCTGCGGAACAATGACCTCCGCCGGAGACTGTAGTGCCGTCGGTGACGCTAGGGAGTAGGGACTGATTTCGGTTTGAGGGAGGGAGTCGCGTGAACTGCCGCCAGGTTCAGTCTTTAGGGGAGGGAAAATGGGAATGGCCGACTCGCGAGCAGAAGGTAACCAAACCACCGAAGAAGAGAAATTTTTTTGTTCTTTAATAAATAAAACGACAGCGTTTTGAGGTGCTGACAGGCAAAAAAAAAAAAAAAGGCCAACCGGCCAACCGGGAAATACCCGGTTCAATCCGGTTATGACCGGTTGGACCGGTTTTTTCCCAGTTCGATGGTTCCCCGGTCAAGCAGCTCATCCGGACCGGACTGGAGATTGGTTCACCGGTTTTCTAGTCGAACTGGCCAGTCTGGTCTGATTTTTTTTTCCTTGTTATTCATAGAGATATATTAGTAGCCTATCTAAAATTTTAGTACCAAATTTTATATTTGCATCCATTAACTATAAAAGAACCTGTTTAGGACGATTTGTTCTTATTTATATAGAGACACTAATAACCTGTCTGAATTTTTATATGGTACAGAGGGCACAACACACACACACACATATATGTGTATATATATGAAGTAGAAAAGGGAAGGACAATTTATTGCCAGTTAATGAATAGTATTTGACTTTCATATATTTGTAACATAAAGTAAATAACCTCTGGAGTAATTAATAAGCTTTTTTCATTTTCACCCATGTTTACTGAATAAATGTAGAGAGAAATAAAGTAAATTGGTAAGAGAAAATATAAAATATATGTTTAATATCCTTTCTTTAATAAGGGTAAATGTGAAAAAAAAAATTATCAATTTAATACATTGTTAGATTGCAGGCTTTAGGTACAAGTGACTTATAAACAGTAATAGAGTAGTAACGAAGAATCAAGTTCTTGAATTAAATGCTTCTAGGATAGGTGCAATGAATGTAAGTTAAATTTATTTGCACTAAATGAAGGGTTAAGTTGCATCTAACACTCTGAAGTATTTCGTCAGATACGTCTATTAACCTCAAGTATTTTATGATTTATTTAGCACTCTAAAAATATTTTTTCGTATGCATCTAATACCCTAAAGTATTTTATAGTTCAAAAATAAATAGAGGAGAGGTATGGAATTTTGTTTGGCCATTATTGTTGAAGGTAGTGAAGAATGAAAGGAAGCAATTGGCAGTATTATGTACTCTTCTGGCACTTTCAACATGTTTCGTACAGATTAAAAAAAACTTTAAACCTCATTAACTCTCATTTAAAATTCAACAACTTTTTAACTTTATCCCCATTTAATATATATTATACTTTATGTAAACATAGTCAACACAATAATAAATGAAAGGTAAAATTGTACATCCATACAAAAAATTTCTTTTAATGTCCTATAAATAAAACAAAAAAAATATTTTCTCTCTTTGTCCTATAAATAAGACCAGAGGAGTATATACATGCACGCACATGAAGGGGAGTGTTGAAAATTTTAGAATGACTATTAAATAGATAAACTGAACTTGCATGGTATGAAATCTCTAAAACCAAGCACACAATTCGCCTGATGAATAACATTCCTGTATGTTTGATAATACATATAGATGCATAAATAAGAATTTATAATCAATCAAATCACTATATGAAATCCCACAATAATAATTATTATTATATTTAATAGAAAGAAAAGCATTGAGTTCTAGTTAAAATCACCCTGAACACATCAAGTCGTATATACTTCTCCGGTCTTTAATATAAAACACATTTAACTAATTTGATTAGATTAAGAAAGTTAGGTAAGTTAATTAATTATAAGAAATATGACACGTTTTTTCTAAAACATCATAATCATCTTTCTTAATACCCCCTTTCCCTCTTCTACTCGATTATGGTTGAGGGAGTATCCATAAGAGTAATTAAAAGAAAATTAATAAATATGAAAAATGAGTCTTATATTTAGGACCAAAACTAACTCAATAATTGGGTCTTATATTAAGGACCCGAGGAGTGTTTTGTTTTCATCGACATGTAAATAATTTTTTTTATATCACTCAGTATAATTAAAAAAATCCACATGTCTTCTTGATTTGATTGGAAGCAAGCACTTGAAGTATATAAAACCAAGTAGATAAGTTTCTAAAAGCAAAGTTGTCCAAAAAAAAGCATATAAAACCAACTAGATAAGTTTCTAAAAGCAAGGTTGTCCAAAAAAAAAACGAGTGCCATCTAGTCGACTTCGAGCAAAACATTGAAAGATTCCTCAAACAAAACAAAATGTCGTGTATTAATATTCAATAACAAAAATCATTATTTTGCTAGTCAAATTTCCAGTATATATATTAACTTCTGGTCGAGTTCAAAACATTCACAATAATAGAGCTCCTAAAATCATGAGTGCCATCTGACCATACGAGTGATGAGGACAACACTGTTTCTTCTGGTAATTTCCCACCCACAGTTCTCACAACAAAAGATTGCTTCTCACTCAAAGACTTGAAGGACAACACCTTAGGTTCCACTGTAATGTTGATTCCTTGAGTTGACTGTACAGTTACCTCGTACTTTTGAGTTAACAAATCCAACATTTGCAACTATCCGATTAATCTTAACATCAAAAGGTTTCATAGATAGCACTTCTGCTAATATCGAAGGAAAGTTTGTATTTCTTATCAAGGATCTATCACGAGATTTGGGACATGTGACATTCTGATCACCACTCACCAGAGATTTTTTTGATGACTGAAGTGTTATAACCAAGATTGCAGAGGACTTCGAGGTATTAGAAAGATCATAAACAAGTCCAAGATTGATAGATGGCAAAGGATTAACATGTCCTGACCCATAAGCAAAGTCATTATCACCAACTTGTTGATCTTTAGTACCATTCATAGGTTTAGCTGTTCTTATAATCGCAGATTTGATGGTTGCCGGAGAACAATCAGGATGAAAATTTTTCTCATTTGCTTTTTCTAGGGGAAAAAAATCGGGCATGAGATTAGATCTCTAATGTCCTTATAATGCCCCAAAATTTTATTATACTCTTTATAATGTCTTAACTTCCCAATTGTTTTTTTCTCATTTCTTTTAATTACCAGTTTGTACGTCAAATGAGAGACCTATTATGTTTTTTTAATAATTTTTCAAAGAAAACTACTATAAATATGATCACCATAAAATATCAAAATATCTCTTACATAATGAAAAAATTGAGAAGTTGAGGCATTATTAGAAGGGGTATTAGAAATTCCAAACCCGAAAAATTCCAAGAAAAGCTTTGCATGACAGAAAATTTGAGGGAAATTCCAAGAGAATGTGACATACTCCTCTGGTCCTATTTATAGGGCAGAAAGAGAAGTTTTTTTTTAGTTATATTTGTAAGTAACTTCATTAAATTTTTATTATGAATGTACTACATTATCCTTCATTTATTATAGTATAGATAATTATTTCTTTTGAAAGATGTATATATTAAATAGAAGTAAAGTTGGAAAGTTGCTATATTTTAATGAAGAGTTAATACAGTTTAAGGTTTTCTTTGATCTGTGTGAAACATATTAGAAGTGCTTTATAAATCGGACCAAAGGAGTAGAATTTTGACAAGTAAAGCGCAACCAAGTTATTACCTAATCACAATTGTTAGCTGATAATTAATGAAGTGAAAACAAATGTCAACTTATACAAAGAGAGACATACATATATATATATATATATATATATTATATTGTTACCTGATGGTGAAGCCGGAAGAGAGAATGTATCTAATTAATCACCTTAAGACATAAACATCTTATAGTGATAAAACAGTGTATTTTATGATTTTTCAAAGAAAATTACTGTATATAATTGTCATAAGATATCAAAATGTCTCCTACTTTATGTAGAATATAATGATAAAAAAAATACAACGAAAAAAATTGAAAGGTGGAGGTATTAAAAGGAGCACTATAAGTTCCAAACCCGAAAATATGATTCCAAGAAAAGCTTTACATGAGAGAAAATTGAAGAAAAAGGAGCACTAGTGCGTGACCTAGAATTTTGAAAAGTAAACCACAAATAAGATACTCCCTCTTGTCCTTATTTTAGGGCATTCTCAGCTAATTTGCATATACCAAGAAATAGAAGTTAAAGCATTAAATTTGTCCTAAATTAATACTCCTCCAGTCTTATTTATAAGCTTCAAATTTGAGAAGAGGTATGGTCTATTTGTAAGCTTAATTTGGATTTGTCTTATCATTTAGTACATATTTTCCAATGTTACCCTTGATTATCTATCTTTTATCACATTTTCCCACACATTTTCTTTATTCTTTTTCTCATTATTATAAGGACATATTTAGAAATAAAAATATATTTATAACATATTTATTATTTTTAACTAATTTTAACTAATTTTTTGTTATCCGTGAATTAGTTATATGAAGCTTATAAGAAGGACCAAAGAGAATAAATTTTTTCCAAGTTTACTCCCAACTTAAATGATGGAGACGGAGTTCAATGAGCTTATAAATCACTAAACTTTAATTAATAACAAGGCTAAAATTGGAAGGTAAAATCGTATATTGATGTGCAAAATTTCTATTAAACAAGGTATAGCCCTCTTAAAGATATATTTTACATTTATACCGATGGAGTCGTTCAAGTAATCATATTCCTTTGCGCTGGAAAAAAAAAATAGCAATCATATTCCTTTCCACCAGGATTAATAACGCATAATGTTTTATAAATTATTAACGTATTTTATAGAAGGTAAAGTCTATTTTGATTGTTTGGATATTTTTAGTGATTTCTTCATTAAATATGCAACGTGTGAATAATTTTTTTAAATATAATTAAGTGTAATTAAAAAAGCCACATATGCTAGAAAAACTCTTTATGGTTTTAAGCTTTAGTAATCCAGGAAATATATAACCATCAATTATCCATGTAAGGGAATACAAAATGAGAATACTATGAATAAGGCACAACATATATAATTTCTCGAACCAAACAAGATGTCCTCTATATATTAATATGCACTATCAAAAATCATTATTTTACTAGCAAAATTTCCAGTATATTAACCTCTAGTCGACTTCAAAATGTTCAGAATAATAGGACTCTTAACATTATGAGTGCCGTCTGACCATAAAAGTGATGCGAACAACACTGAGCCTGCTGGTAATTTCCCTCCCACAATTCTTACAACAAAAATTGTTTGTCACTCAAAGACTTGAAGGACAACACCTTAGGTTCTACTGTAATGTTGACTCCTGAAGTTGACTGTACAGATACATTGTACTCTGAGTTAGCAAATCCAACATTTGTGACTGTTCGATTAATCTCAACATCAAATGGTTTCATGGATTGTTCTTCTATTAGTATTGAAGGAAAGTTCGTATTTCTTATCAAGGATCTAGCAGGAGATTTGGGACATGTGACACTTTGATCACCAGATATTCGTTTGATGATTGAAGTGTTATAACCAAGATTGCAGAGAAGTTCTAGGTAATCTTGTTTTGAAAGGTCATGAACAAGTCCAGGATCAACAGCTTGCATGGGATTAACATGTCCTAATCCATAAGAAAAGTGATCTTTAGGACCATTTATAAGTTTAGCTGTTGTCATAATCGCAGATTTGATGGCTGCCGGAGACCAATTTGGATGAAAACTTTTCACATATGCAGCTATATTCCAGATGCATGAGGGCAAGCCATAGAGGTTCCTGAGATGATATTGTACTTAACCCTTCTAGGGTCTAAATCATCATGACCTGAATAAGCAATTTGTCATAATTATACTTGCCTAACAACTCAAACCTAAATATATAATTAATTAGGTAAAAATGTAAACAACAATACAAGCAAAACATACTTTTCTTATCAAAATTTTTTATAGTTAAAAAATCTTGATTTTTGTTTTTTTATTTCTTTTTTTTAAATGAATTCCTCTCAACTTGTTCTCTTATTTACTTTTAAGATAATACTTACATTAAGTTTCTTATATCTATAATGTCAAATTCTTCGATCATACATAATTATGTGTCCTATTTTTGAAATATTAACATTTAATAGCATTTAATTATAAATACACATGTAATGGCAAAAAATATTATAAATACACATAAAAAAATATGACATATGACCATATATAATTAGAAAACTTGACATAATAGATATAAGAAATTTGAGCAAAACTTTTTCCTTAGTTTTTCTATGAAAGTTTGAGCATAGAGCCTCTATTGCCCCTTTTTTTTTAAATTGTTTCCTTCTACATAAAATAAAGGGAAAATGGTTAAAAAAAGACTACCGAAATAGAAAAATTACAAATAAGAGCCCATGACAATATTAGTATGGATTTTGACAACTATAGTATGAGTTTTAACAATAATTTTTGTAAACCGGTCCCTATATGCAATTTTTCGATTCCAGCAGTATTTTTTGACCATTTTTCCTAAAATAAAAGACATTAATATCTTACAACCAAAAAATAATGATGCATTTTTTTCACAATTTTCAGAAAAGTTAAATCAAAACTACATAATTTTAGGGTATTAGTTGTCCCAAGCTCAAAGAGTTGCAAAAAAAAAAAAAAAAAGCTTAAAATGAGAGAAAAATCAAGAGAAATTCTAAGAGAAGTTTTCATGAATGTTATACTTTTTCTAAGAGAAAGTTCGGAAAGAAAATAACATCTTGAAGTAAAATAAGAAAACAAGATGTGACATGGGAATTTTGAAAAGCAAAGAACATATAAGACGCGGGCGCACATACCCACACACACATATTAGTTATTAGCCTATATATATTACTTATTGGCCGCAGCTGTTAACAGATAATGAACTGGAAACAAATGTGTGTGTGTGTGTGTGTGTGTAATAGAGAGTTACCTGATGGTGAAGCCAAAGGAGAATATGCTGCTAAGATATTCACTCCTGGTGCAGTTATATCTGGTTTTAGGATTTCTGGGACTGCTATGCTTGGCCCACGTGAAGAAAACTTAGCTACTCTCGGAGCATTATCATCCACAATACTCTCACTCTTCATTATCTCAGCCTCTGGATTTGATAATGATCTTGAATATGACGCAACAACATTATAGTCTATTGGAGATAACGTGAGATAAGGAAATAAAGTCACCCCAGTTGGTCCATTGCTTACACCACTATCCTTTACAATCGCTCCAACTGCACCAGCTTCATGAGCCTTAATGTCTATACGAGTGTTGCATAACACTATCTTTCCTTGGATCTCACTTTTCAGACACTCGCAAACGTCGGAATAGATTCGATCCTTACATTTGGCTATGGGATATATGGTCCCTTTTGGATCAAAAGCATTCACTGAATCTCCCATGCACTAAGGTTGTTCCATTGCCAAGAACAAGCTTGTCAATGACTTGGCGATCTGTGGTGCTTGCTGCAACTGAGAGGATCCATGGCGCAACACTTGTCACTGAGTTTGGATCAGGCCCTTCGTTTCCTGCAGACTGCACTGTGAGTAGCCCTTTGGCCATAGCATGGAAGGAACCGATCGAGATGCCACCATCATCGTATAAATCGTCAGGAGGAAACATCCCTCCAAGTGAAAGCGAAAGTATGTCAGCTCCATCTGCTATGGCATCATCGAAAGCAGCCAAGATTCCCGCACTACTGCACCCTACAAACATTAATGTTGTTACATAACAATATTGAAATCTAATTTACTAAACATAATTGATCCTTAATATAAAAGCCAGATAACTGATTTAAAGATATTAAAAAATTAATTAAGTTGGTTATTTGTCATAAATATATGTTGGTTTTTTTAAACTGCTTCCTCCGATCTTTAATATGAGAGCTAGTTTACTAATTTGAATAGATTAAGAAAATTAGCTATGCTAGGTATTTGTAATAAGTAGATGTTATTTTTTCTAAAATATCCTTACTAATCAAGTATATTGGCTAAAATAAGGACTACCTTGAAAAAAAATAGATAAATATGAGAAACAAAGTAAATTGAGATCTTATATTTAGAAACAATAAAATTCAAACGAATTCTTATATTAAGAACCGGAGGTAGTATAGTTTTTTTTTGGTGAAATAAGTTATCGTCTTTAATCCTGTGAAATAAGTTTAATGGGAGCCTCTACACACATTAATGTTGTCACATAACAATATTAAAGGCTAATGTCCTAAACGTTTATAAGGGCTAATTAACTAATTCACACAAATTATGTAATTTGTCGAAAATGTCACCTTCATTATCGCAGGTTTTGTATACAGCAATTCTCGCAGATGGGACCCCTCCTCTTGCAGTGCCTTCTGCTATACCATAAAAGCTCGCGCCATTAACGTTGTTTCCAGCTGCTATTGAGGCCGTGTGAGATCCATGGCCGACATCATCTCTAGCAGAGTCTCCTCTGTAGAATCGAGCTCCTATGATTTTGTTATTACATGTGAAGTTTTTCCCACCAGCACAAGTTCCTAAATGCAACACATAATGCGACTAGTAAGAAAAATCATGACTCAAAATATTCTCAAATATTGAAGTAGTTTTTGATGAGTATTAATTGGTACCTTTCCATTTTTTGGGAGGAGGAGCAAAACCTTTATCTGTAAAACTCTCGGATTCAGGCCAGATTCCAGTGTCAAGAAATCCGATTATGACATCACTTTCACCTGAAACGTTTCGCTTGACTGACTCAACCAAACCAATGAAGTCCCACGATCTGGTTTCATGAGCGTGAAGTACTGTGTTTGGAAAAACAGATACCACTCCTTCCATTCGAGCAATCTTTTCTCTTTGCTCTTCTGTGAGCTTTGCAGCGAACCCATTGAAACTTCTCTTGTAGCTTCGAATCAGTAATGAACTTGCTGCATCGGTTTCTCCAGTAACTTGTTCAAGCATTCCCAGATGATGAGAAATCGGAGAGTACGATGATTCCTCAGGAAGTGATCCCATGTATACTACATAAGTTTTCCTGTGTTCGACATCAGAAGAAGCATCGCATATTCAGAGAATTACAATACATGTGAAGAAAATAATTGAAGAACGCTTAGCCATTGTTTTGTTCATCATCACTGCTGAAATGTGAATGGTAATGAGAGGCACAACATATATATAAAGTACTAAAGAAAGGACAATTTATTGCCAATTAATGAATAGTATTTGACTTTCATATTTTTAACATGTTTAAACTTTCAAATCCAAACATAATGGAGAATCAAGTTCTTGAACTAATCAAATGCTTCGGTAACAGGATAGGTGCAATGAATGTAAGCTAAATTTATTGGCATTAAATGAAAAAGGGATATTTTTAATGCAACTAAATGCAAGTGAAAAATTATATATACTTTTTTTTTATTTCATAATTACAACCTGTTAATATATTATGTGTGTGTATGAGTATGTATATTATAGAGTATGTAATCAAATTTGAATATTGTTGGACGCAAAGTGCAAAACATAATTCTTTTAACGGCATCTTTAGGTAATCATAATTCTCCTTCCTCAAGGTTAATAACGCCTATTATTTTGTAAATTATTACCACATTTTATATGAGGTAAATTTTATTTTAATAATTCAAACCTCAAAGTGATTGGATTTTTTTCTCCAAAAAAATTCTAGTAAAATATTAATCTCATCAAAAAATTTATTTTTTTAAAGAATTCTACAAACTGCTGATATCAAACACAAAAATTATTATGTAGATTTTGTGAATTTGTAAATTTTTCAAACATTGTAGTAGAAGCTAAGTACCTGCTTCTTGTAGTCAACCAGATCATTCTTTTTTTTCCCTATACAAAAGGAAGGGACACCCTTCAAGACACCTGTCGGTACTCGCTAAAACTAGCCTGGTCAGTGCATATTACGTCCATCATCTCCAATGCGGGGTTTAGAAGAGGGTGAAAACCCCAAAACACTTTAAAAAAAATTATTTTTACATAAATTAAGACAAAATTAATTTTACATATTTATTTTAAATTCTATAAAATCATTTTTTAAAAATTATTTTTAAAAGGCTAATACAGACAGACATCCATGTAGCCAGCCACACTGCTAAGGGCTTGCTTGGCTGCTGATTCAATGCTACTTCCGAGTAATGGCAGTTTATTTTTTTTAATGCAACTTTTTTATTTTATACAAGGGTATTTTAAAAATATATATCATATTTATTATAATTAATTAAATTAAGTATCTTCTGTAATTTGACCAAATTAGATAAACATTGTTCTTAAATTAAAGTAAACGAGAATTGTTAGACCAAGAATGATTTTTTTTTGGTACATAAGAAAACAGGAAAATAGAGACTAAGTGGGATTAAATCCCAAATAGTCCTTTTCTACCAGTTGCCTCATAGTACTCGAGCAGACATCATAATAAGAAGAGATTGAGATTCCCTGTTTGGCCACCGCATCAGCAACCTTGTTTGCTTGTCTTGCAGTAAAGCATAATCTAATCTCCCAATCATACTTCAATAGATCACAAATCTGTAATAACAAAAGGCCATAAGAAGGAGGAGGCTGATTTGTAGTTAGATAATCAATCAGATTTTTGGCATCAGATTCAAGTATAACTTTCTTGAATCCAAAATCCCAAGCCAACTTTAGCCCCTTGTAGGTACCCCAAGCTTCTGCCTTTAAGACACTGCATAAACCAATCTGGAAAGAGAAACCCATAATCCAATTACCACACTGATCTCTAAGAACACCTCCATATATAGCCAGCTCTATTAGATGAATTTACTACAACACCATCAACATTTAGTTTGATCCATCCTTGAGGTGGTGCCACCCATGAGTTTGAGGTAATTGTAGACTGAGATTTTTCATCAGCCATCACAAGTCCTGTTCCTATAGAATAGTTTTTCCAGCTATGTTTAATTACAGCTACAGGATCTGTAGGCTTTTCAAAGTTATCATCAAAAACTGATTCATTCCTCCAGAGCCATAACTTCCAAACTGAGAATCCCCAAGACAAATCCCAATTATCATTTCCATCTAGACTCATATTTTCCTGCAAGTTGAGAGCACTCCATTCTTGCAAAGAGACCAGGAAAAATCTATTCACAAACTTCTAGTCTATAAGGGAGTTCCACACATATTTTGCATATTCATAGTCTCTAAGCACATGTAAAATACTTTCCACTTCATTACCACAGTAGGAACATAATGGAGAGCATTGAGACCAATTGTTTCTCCAGAGATTAGTGGGCAGTCTACCATGAAATATTCTCCAAATAAACATCCTAATCCTTTTAGCTCATGGCCATCTCCAGATTAGTTTATAAATCGGACTATAAAGAGAAGAAGGATTCTCCTCAATCAGGTAATAGGCACTCTTAATACTGAATAACCCTGTACTTGAGACTTTCCACATTAGAACATCTTCTCTAGCAGAATCAAACGGAGGGATCACACTAGCAAAGTCTACCAAAACCTTAGCCGAAACCAGATTATGCAATTTAGACCAGTTCCGTGAGCCATATGTCACCCAATTAACTACCACACTGCTTTGCTCTTCATCATATAGGTCCCTTACACAAAGGTCTTTGAGTTTCCTATCTGTGAAAAGCTAAAAATCAGTAAAGAACCAAATTGATTTCTTATTCCTAAGTTGCCACATTGATCCTTTGTCCACCACTTCTTTTTGTTTACAAATAAACTTCCACAATTTAGAATCTCCAGGTAGAGCCATAAGAAGATCCTGTTCATTGTGCAACGTGTACTTTTGATTCAAAACCTTAGTCCATAGACCCTTTTCTCCTATCAATAATCTCCAAGTTAACTTTGCCCTATAAGCAGAGTTTAGTAAGGATAATTTTTTAAAACCAAGTCCTCCATAGGTCTTTGGTAAAGTAATAGACTCCCATCCTATTGGATGATAGCCTTTTGTATTTTGGTTATAACCCCAAATGAAGTTTCTTTGAAGCCTTTCAACTTCATCACAAATTTTCTTGGGAATTTGAGAGACTTGCATGGGATATAGGGGAATAGAACTCAAGACAGATTTGGCCAATGTAATTCGTCCAACTATGGATGGACATTTAGCTTTCCAGCTATCTAATTTTGTTCTTACCCTCTCAACTATATACTGGAACTTTTCTATAGGTCTTCTATTATTTGAAAGAGGAAAACTGATAGATCCTGATTTTAAGATATTATTTGATATCTTTTTGGAGATATTTATCAATTAAAGTGAGATAAATTGCATTGATTGTAGGTATTTTGAATCAAATACTAATTGCATGAAATTAGAGATTTAATAGGAGATCTTATCATATTTTTATCTCTTTTCAAATAATTGATTTTGGATTTGGTGATAGTATCTCAATTTATCTTTTGCAGGCCTTAAAAATAAGAAAATAAAGATAATGGGAAAACTGAAAGGAAGGAAATAAAAAAATACAAAAAGGAAAAATTGGAGACACAGCTTGGATGACATCAGATTATGATATTATCTATATTTTTATGGATTCAAAAAGAGGCCATGGAAATTTTCTACACACCAATCCTTCATATTTGATTTGGATATATATTATATCCCATCCTTCATGCAAGTACGATCGCCGCCACCTCCCCCCATTCCTTTCCTATATATACCACCGTACACACACTCATACACCACCGACTCGCACTCACACACCCTCAGTTCCTTCACAGCTACAAGCAAGACCCAGGCCGCCAACATCAATTCACGCGGAGACGCCATACATACACACCGCCGATCTCATCTCCAATTTCCATCTCTCTTTTTTTTGCCATACCAGTGCTTCCTTTTATCTCTTTGCTATCAATCCTCACATTCATTCTTCCCCCATAGCCTTCATAGATTCTCATTACTTCAAATATATTGTGGATTCTTCTAGAGCTATGAGAGGCTAATTCCACTGTGCTTCTTGAAGATGGAGGAGTAGCTTGAGCTTGGAGCTTCAACTAGGGGAGTATTTAGTTTTCCAATTAATTTTCTCTTGGACTTCATTAGATTTTTCCTGTGTTAGGAATATTTCATTTGATTTGGAGACTGAGATTATGCGTTATAATTTCTGTTAATTGGATTTTTGCAGTTTAATTTGAGTTGTATTACTTGGGATTTGAATTTATATATATTTCCTTTGCAATCATTAAAATTATTTTATCTGGCACGTTGTTAGATTTTATGATTGAGATGTATTGCAATTGAGTGTCTCCGTGAGCATTCTTTGAGAGGGAAACAAGTTTTATTAACTCAATTTAAATTGCACGTTAAGTGGTTTTTAAAAGTAACTTAATAACTTGATTACTATCTAGCGTTTAGGGTAGTTAAGTGTTGAGTTTACTTGACCCAAACCGTGTTTAGGGTTGTTTTTCTTAACTTGGTGTATTATTTTATTCCCATATCTTTTATTAAGCAAGGATAGCTACATTCCGTTTTCAAGAAGCATTCTCATTACTGATTTTCTAAAACCCAATTTTGAATTTTTCATTCTCTCTTTATTTAAAAAAAAACCAAAAAAATAGTTTAGATTTATTTCTTATTTTCATAATTAGTTTTATTAATTGAAAATCATTTTCCAAACCCTTCTTTTTTTTTATTCTTTGTCACTTAGTTAACTTAAGAATTAATAAAAGGCTTCTCAAGAGACACGACCCGAGTCGTGCTTTACTGCATAATTTGGTTTTATTTTTTATTTAACCCAAGACGACTAAAAAGGTTCAAATCAGAAACCAAGGTACCTTCCAATCTCAGTTGAAAACTATCATTTGTGTTATATCTCTAATCTTCCTTTTAACATTTGCTTCCACTCTAGGTGAAATAAAGGGAAGATTTGCTTCTGTTAACTCACTCTCTTGAAGCCTGAGAAAATAGATCCAAAATTCCCATCATACAAGTAACTTGTTTCTCTGTAGCAACATCAAACAGTAGCAGATCATCCGCAAACATTATATGTGAGAAAGCCAGACCATTTCTAGTGATAGAAATCGGTTTCCACTTGCCCTCATTTATAGCATCACAAATTAGATGTGACAATTTGTCCATGCATAGCAGAAAGAGGAGAGTAGATATTGGATCCCCTTATCTGAGGCCTCTTTCAGCAGTGAAATATTCAGTAGTAGAGCCATTCCACAACACATTATGCTGGATAGTAGTTACACAGGACATTATAAGATTCATAAATTTTTCTTCCAATCCCACTTCATAAAGAACATCACAGAGAAATTTCTAGCTAAGCCTATCATAGGCTTTCTCAAGATCAACCTTCATTGCTACTAATCCTTTCCTTCCTTTTGTTCTATTCATCGTATGAAGGATCTCTTGCCCAATAACAATGTTATATTGCATTTGCCTTCCTTTAATAAAACTAGCTTGATAAGGAGAAATCACATCATTTATTACTAATTTGAGTCTTTGAGTGATAATTTTTGTCACACATTTGTAATGCACTGAACAAAGAGAGATTGGTCTAAAATGGGTAACTATCTCTGGATTTTCTCTTTTCGGTATAAGAGAGATTAAAGTTTTATTAAACTCACTAACTGTCACACTTCCTTCAAAAATACTTTTAACAAATCTACACATGGCTAGACCAATAATCTTCCAATTATGTTGAAAGAAAACAGGAGAAAAACCATCAAAACCAAAGGCTTTAAAAGGTCCCATAGCAAAAATAGCATATTTAATCTCCTCATAAGTAGGCATATCACACATAGATTGCAAAGAAGAAGTATCAATTTCAAGAAAGTTAACTTTAGTGACTAGGTCAATAAAACCAGTTTCATCCTGGGAATACAAAGTTTTGAAGTAATCAACAACTAGCTTGTTAAGACCAGCCTCATCCTCCAGCCACTCTCCTTGTTCATTCTTAAGAGCAAGAATCCTATTCCATTTTCTTCTTCTATGTGTTTTGAGATGATAATATCGAGTGCTTCTATCTCCTTTTGTAATCCAATTTGATCTAGCTTTTTGAAACCATTTGACTTCTTCCCATTTCAAGATCTCCTTCAATTCTAATTAAAGTTTATATTCTAGATCAACAAGAAAAGAAGAGTAGGGATAAGATTGACATTGTTGTATACCATTTAGTCTAGACAAGAGAATTCTTTTCTTTTTCTCTATAAAACCAAAAACTTCCTTATTCCAAACCAGAATAGAATCTTTGAATTCAAACAAGGTTTTATTAAAATCATCATTTTCCTTCCATGAATTCTCTACAAAATTCTAAAAATTTTCATATTCAATCCACATAGCTTCAAAACGAAAAAGTTTAAGACCTTTAAAAGTCAAGCTTTCAACATGTATAAACAGAACGAGGGGATTATGGTCCAAGAAAAAAATTCTGAATAAGCACTGAAATCCGCACTACATCACTTCGCCAAGCTACTGCCAGACCCCCTGAACACCTTACACCTGGAATAATCGATAAACTATCAAAACCTAGAGATGAGAGACAGCACAGCTTTAAATCACTCTCACACTTTGTTTCTGAAAGGATGAGAACAGAAGGGTTGGAGTTACCAAATAAAGCCTTTAAATTTTTTGTGAGGCCTTTATTATTGGCCCCCCTGACATTCCAATAAAATATCTTATCCATATGAAAACAGACCATGAGCGAGGTTTAATATCACGGCCCAATTAAAACAGGGAAGGTAACTATGTTTTGGGTGTCACTGAATCTTCACTTTGCACTTCTCTCTCTGAAGTATTCACATATGGGCTAACAAGGCTAGGCCCATTATGCTCACCTCTGGGGCATGTATCCATTACTGCATCTTCACCTGGATCATGAGGTAGGGGGTCGATATCTCCTACATATTCCATCGGATCTCCTCCAACATTTTCATGAGAAGGATAAGTAGGAGTTTCCTCCTCATTTACAATTTGTTCTTCCGTTTCATTGTATGTCAATATTAAAATCTCGTTTGATCTCCTGTGGTTCACAAACATATCCCAAGACCTTTTTTCCCTTTTCCTCGTTTCAACTCCCTTCAAGGAACTATCTATAATCCTCTCTAGGACCATTCCTGCCACCATACTGTTATTCTTTTTCTACCTATTGCTCTACCCCTTTTTCTTCTTTACAAATCCATACATTAGTAGTGGGAGCAACAACAAAAGGTACGTGCTCCAGGTCCGACATTGCAGGAATCACTTCATTTTCTACTTCTTTTGTGAGATTAATTTGAGCATTTTCCACCTCAGCCACCACATCAAACCTTGTCCTGAATGCTATTTGCCAGAAATTCTCCCCTGTTTTCTCCTTCCCCTTCCATTACTGGTGGGGTTTTTGTACTACTTTCCACACCTCTTGATCAGTGCCTCCAATTCCCTCAAACCCCATCCCTGGGTCCCATCTTCCTAGTCCTTCACCAATCTGATTCCCTCTACCAACCCCTTGAGGTTCTACAACAGGTTTCCTCGCTAGGCATATCTCACTTCGGTGTCCATATACTCCACAATTCAGACAAAGAGAATGTAGCCCTTCATATTCCAAATAATAATCTTCTCCATCCAAAGAAAACCCAAACATTAACTGTTTGCTCAAATCAACCATAACACATATCCTGGCGTAATGGCCGCTGAGCTGAGAAGAAGTATAAACATCAACTTTAATGGTTTCTCCAATTCTGTTTCCAATAATGGTAAGAGCCTCTTCATCATAATACTCTAGAAACACTCTTAGTAGGCATACCCAGACAACTACTTTATCAACTTTAGCTCTAGCAGGATTCAACTTTGGTTCCCAAGGTCTCACTGTTAAATAATGGTCGTAAATCATCCATGGACCTCCTGTCAATGCATTAAAATAGTCCTCCCTATTCGAGACTTTGACTACAAAATAACCATAACCAATGTTAATCAAACTAATAACTCCTCTTTTTGCCTATAGAGCTTGCAACCTGGCTTCCAACGCTTTATATCCAAATACTATAGTCTAAGAGCTTGATTATCACTGTTTTCTTCCAAGCTCTGTATAGCCTCTTCTTTATTCTCCCAAAGAAGTGAAATGTAGGAAAGTTTCTCTTTGGATCCTCCCTTATACGAACCAATGGTTCTTTCCTCCCATTCTCATCGTCAAACTGAACAGACATACTATCATCTGATTTCTCATCGTTTTCCTCTATTTCATCATCAAAATGCATGATCACTCTGGTGGTTTACACCTTTCAGTGTTTCAACAAATGTCAAACCAGTTCTCTTCTTGGGTCCCTGAGCAGTCCCAAGTTTTGGCCATTGATTTAGTTTAGAGGTCTCTCCATGTTCCATTCCACTGTTCTTAATTTTCTTAGAGCTCCTCCTGAGTAAATCATCTTCTTCTGTAGAAGGAGGAACTGGAGCAATGTTTTTCCCTGCGATAATGAGAGCCATTTGCTGACCAAGAATGATTAATATTAGGAAGTGCAGTTCCTCACTCAAACCATGAATACATTATTTTTTTGCCCAAAAAAGAACCATGCACTATTTGTTTGTCTCCTCTAATGCCTTTCTTTCTTACGTCTTTTTTTTTTTTTTTTGAGAAATTAAATAAAATGTTGAATATAATATTTTGCATTAATTGAAATATACTCGCTCTTGTTTCCAACAAGAGAGCTAGTTGGGGATTTGTGTTGAATTTTATTCTAAATATAAAACTTTAATATATTTTGTTTCTCACATTTATTATTTTTTCTCAAACCAATTTTCCTAACTTGTTGATATATAATATATTGTTTTGGTTTAAGATACATAACATAACATTATTGTCATAAAAATATAAATAGTGCTATACAGGTATATTTTAGAAAAATTAGTAACATATATTATAATTGACTAATTTAGTTGACTTTCTTATTATGTGCTAAAGCTTGAGTTTTAGTAATCCATGAAATTTAGCCATCAATTAATCATGTAAAGAAATACTAAATGAGGAGAACACTAGGAGTGAGGCACAGAATTTCTCAAACAAAACAAAATGTCCCATTTTAACATTTGATACCAAAAATCATAATTTTACTAGTCTATTTTCTAGTATATATTAACCTCTAGTCGAGTTCAAAACATTCACAATAATAGGACTCCTAACATTATGAGTGCCATCTGACCATACAAGTGATGAGGACACCACCGTTTCTGCTGGTAATTTCCCTCCCACAATTCTCACAACAAATGATTGTTTCTCCCTCGAAGACTGGAAGGACAACACCTTAGGTTCCACTGTAATGTTCACTCCTTGAGTTGATCGTACAGTCACCTCGTACTTTGAGTAGACAAATCCAACATTTGTGACTGTTCGATTAATCTTAACATCAAAAGGTTTCATAGATTTCACTTCTGCTAACATCGAAGGAAAGTTTGTATTTCTTATCAAGGATCTATCAGGAGATTTGGGACAAGTGACCTTGTGATCACCAGAGATTTTTTTGATGATTGAAGTGTTGTAACCAAGATTGCAGAGAAGTTCTAAGTATTCTTGTTTTGAGATATCATAAACAAGTCCTGGATCAATAGCTTGCACAGGATTAACATGTCCTGATCCATAAGCAAAATCATCAACATGATCGTCATCATTAGTAGGAATATTCATAGGTTTAGCTGTCGTCATAATTGCGGATTTGATGGCTGCCGGAGACCAATCTGGATGAAAACTTTTCACGTACGCGGCTATTCCAGATGCATGAGGACATGACATGGAGGTTCCAGACATAATGCTGTACTTAATTCCCCTTCTTAAGTCGAACTCATCATTGCCTGAAGAAACAATTTGGCAAATTAATGTTATACTTGCTTGAGCTCAAACCCAAATATAATTAATTAGGTAAAAACGTAAGCAACAATATAAAGAGAACATATTTTTCCTTAAACCAAAATTTTCTATAGATATAAGAAAATTATTAATTTTTTGTTTTTTTTTTTACAATTTTTCAATTTTTTTAAACTTTTTTCTTCAATCATGTTGAAGGAAACCTTTCCAACCAATTAGCTAGAGTGTGCACTCTATCTCTATTTTCGACCTTTTTTGTCGTCGTTAAAAGTCTTATTTTTAGTGGTGACTTTTTATTGTTGCTGTCAAAATTCATTACCTAAAGTCTTTTTTTTTTTTTGTAAGTTTCTAATTAATAATATCGCAACCAGTTCCTTCTATTCTCTCATAATATCCTAGCCTCTTAATTTTTTTTATGTATCATTAAATTATACATAAAATGAGAGACATTTTATGTTTTATATAGATAAAATGGTGCTTTTTTTCACAAAAAACAAATCTAAACTGCATAACTATAAAACCTTTTTCATTGAAAAAATGTAAAAAAGAAAAAAAAAAGACTTGGACTGTCCGTTACTATAAAATATCAAAATATCTCACATTATATATACAGAATATAATAATAAAAAATTTGAGAAGATAAAACATTCCAAGGACATTAGACATCTAAACCTGAAAAGCTTGACATGAAGAAGATTGAAGAGAAAGTATTAATATTTTACTTTCTTGAAAGAAGTTTTAGTAGTGGAATAAGAAAACAAGCATACGTGGTACTACAATTTTTGGAAAACTGAAGAGTGTTACCTGATGGTGGAGCTAGAGGAGAATATGCGGCTAAGATATGCACTCCTGGTGCAGTTATATCTGGCTTTAGGATTTCTGGGACTGCTATGTTTGGCCCTCGTGAAGAGAACTCAGCCACTCTTGGAGCAGTATTATCCACAATACTCTCACTCTTCATTATCTCAGCCTCTGGATTTGCTGATGATCTTGAGTATGACTCAACAACATCATAGTCTTTTTCAGATAATGTGAGATAAGGAAATACACTCACATCAGGTGGTGCAAGAAGACTTTGAGTACTACCTCGTCCAATTGCACCAACTGCACCAGCTTCATGAACATTAAGGTCTATCTGTGCACCACATAACACAATCTTTCCTTGGATTTCACTTTTCAGACAAACACAAAGGTCGGAATAATTTCGATCCACACACTTGGCTATGGGATATTTGGTCCCTTTTGGATCAAAAGCATTCACTGAATCTCCCACTAAGGTTGTTCCATTCCCAAGAACAAGCTTGTCGACGATTTGGCGATCTGTGTGGCTTGCTGCAACTGTGAGGATCCATGGTGCAACACTGATCACTTCTTCTGAATAAGGCCCGCCATTTCCTGCAGATTGCACTGTGAGTATCCCTTTGGCCATAGCATGAAAGGAACCAATCGTGATGGAATCATCGTACAAATTGTCTGGAGCAAACATCCCTCCAATTGAAACTGAAAGTATGTCAACTCCATCTGCAATGGCATCATCGAAAGCAGCCAAGATTCCAGCAGTATTGCAGAACCCTAACTCGCATTGATGTTAGTTAGATAACAATATTGAAACCTAGTTAACATATAGAAAGGGGTGAAGAGGCAAATTTATCTATTGTGATATACAAAAAGAGGACCCAGCACCATAATAAAATGCTGGGAGCAAGAATACTTATCAACTTTTTGAAACAGGACAAAAATGCTAGTTCCATTAAGTGCTCCTAGCAGCTGTTACTTTTTTCTTTATGGGTCTCACTAGGCATACTCGTGTTCTCACACACCCTCACTTCTTCCTTCCCTTTCTCTTTTCTTCTCTCTCTCCCCTTCTGTCTCTTCTTTGCTTTCTCCTTTTTTCCTTCTCCCCAAAATTTACATGGTTCTACCACTTGCCGGAATCGGAAGCCATAAACACCAATACTGCCACCACTACCTTCCTCTCCACTGAAATGAAAAGGTCCTTTTTTTTTTTCTTTCTTCCCCTTTTTTTCTGGCTCTCTCTTGCTTTCTCTCTCTTTTTTACCGGCACCTAACATACCAAGTTTCCACATAGGAATGCGTCGGCCTTCTTGGAGCAAATCACAAGTAATCTAGCAAGTTATTTCCCTTAAAGCTTTGCTCGACCCAGTTGACAATGATTCTGATGCCAGATCCATATGAAAATTACCCTTTGTTCTCCCCTTAAGAAAATACAAATGAGAAGTATGAAATCTGTTCAGCCTTAAGTCTGAAATCTGTTGAACTTGGGAATGATTTGTGATTCAGAGCATTTAGCTTCCTTTTATAGATTCTTTCTCATCATTTTTAAATTTTTGATTGCTTGTGCTTTGGGATTTTGACTGGGAATGATTTTTTGGGTTTGCATTATGTTGCGGTGGAAGGAGGAGGAGAATGGAAGAGGCTGACAGTGATGGTGGCGTCGGTGGGATGATGGTGGAAACCAGGAAGGGGTTGGTCATGAGGAGAAGATGGCTATTGATGGTTGTCTTGGCTGTCGACAGTGAAATTCACCACCACTTGCTGTGACAAAAGTGGTCTCCAACAGTGTCATAGTTAACACCGATGGGGAGGACGGCAGTAGTCATGGTTTCTTGTTTGATCTCAGTTATTTGCCCACACATGATATTTTTTTTCAATTTTCTACCATGTATGTTCTTCTTTGACTCAAAATACACAGCCACGTAACACTTCATCATCTGCATATCACCCTCCACATCACCTTATTTGGTCAACATTTTTAAACTAACAATCAGCATTGGTCAATTTAACAGAAGTTGCATTTTTGGGCTCGTTTTAAATCAACATGGGTAATTTTGAGTCCAATATTTTATTATAGTGCCTGATGCTCTTTTTGAATATTACCATAGGTAAATTTGTCCTTTCACTCTATAGAAAATTAGACACCCTCCTAAAGCACCCTCCTTTTAATCCTTTACATTGGATTACATCAAATGTAAACTACTTATATATCATATAAGAATCTGTTCATGAGGATAGTTTAGGGAAAAGAACAAGAAATAGAAAAGATAAAGAGTCATTAAAGTCTTGAATTTAGGAGTTTATAGACATATAAATTTTAACGTCACCGGTATTCATTTGTAAAAAGTGTTACCTTGACTATCGCAGGTTTTGTATACAGCAATTCTCGCAGATGGAACGCCTCCCCTCGCAGTGCCTTCTGCTATACCATAAAAGCTTGCGCCATTAACGTTGTTTCCTGCTGCTGTTGAGGCCGTATGAGATCCATGCCCGGCATTGTCTCTTGCAGAGTCTTCCTTGTAGAATCGAGCTCCTATGACTTTGTTGTTGCATGTGAAGTTTTTCCCACCTGCACATGTTCCTAAATGCAACAGAGAATGCGAATAGTAATAGATAGAAATTATAGACTCCCAAAGTATGGTCAAATATTGAAATAGCTTTGGATTAGTATTAATTAATTAGTACCTTTCCATTTCTTAGGAGGAGGACCAAAACCTTTATCAGTAAAACTCTCCGATTCAGGCCAGATTCCAGTGTCAAGAAATCCGATTATGACATCACTTTCAGCAGATACGTTCCGTTTGGTTTCTTCGACCAAACCCATGAAATCCCACGATCTGGTCGTCTGAGTGTGAAGTGTTGTGCTTGGAAAAACAGATGCAACTTCTTCCATTTGAGCAATCTTTTCTCTTTGCTCTTCTGTGAGTTTTGCAGCGAACCCATTGAAACTTCTCTTGTAGCTTCGAATCAGTAACGAACTTGCTGCATCAATTTCTCCAGTAACTTGTTGAAGCATTCTCTGATGATGAGAAGTCGGAGAATACGATGATTCCTGAGGAAGTGATCCCATGTAGACTATGTAAGTTTTCACATGTTCAACATCAGGAGAAGCATCGCATAATAAAGGAATTACTATAGACGCAAGAATAATGTAAGGCCCACAGAAGAAAATAACTGAAGAATTCTTAGCCATCGTTTTAATTCACTGCACGAATGTGAATGGTATTGAGGGGCACAGCATATGCATATATACTACCTCCGGATCATAATATAAGGCCTCATTTAATTTTTATTTTGGTCCTAAATATAAGACCCAAATCTATATTGTCTCTCATATTTATCTTTTTTTTTTTCAAAATAGTCCTTCTCATAATGGTACTTTAGTCAATAAACTTTATTAGTAAAGATATTTTAGAAAAGAAAACACCTTTTTATTATAAATAACTGGTTTAACTCACTTTCTTAATCTACTCAAATTAGTCAATTAGTTTTTATATTTAGGATCGAAGATAGTACATATATATACACACACTAAAGGGGGGGACAATTTATTGCTGATGAATTGTATTTGATTTTCATATATTTGTAACAGATCTGACTTTTTTAAACTTTTGGAGAATCCAAATATTTGAATTCATTTTAAAGGCGTAGTTCATCATTATAAACAGGATAGGTTCAATGAATATAAGCTAAGTTTAACTGCATTAAATCGAGAGAGAGAGAGAGAGAGAGAGAGAGAGAATATTTTTAATGTCATTAATGCAATTGAAAAATTGTACTCCTCTAATCTTATTTATAGACAAGAGAGAGAGAATATTTTTTGGTCCTATTTAGAGGACATTGAGAGAAATTTTTTGTATAGATATACAATTTTATTTCTCATTTATTATTGTATTGATTGGGTTTAAATGATGTATAATGCATATTAAATAGGGATAAAGTTGAAAAGTTTTTAAATTTTAAATGAGAGTTAATAAAGTTTAAAGTTTTTCTTGTTTTGTGTGAAACATATTCGAAGTGACTTACAAATAGGACCAGAAGAGTATCTTTTACTTTTTTTTTTATGTTTCTCTATGCCTCGTTTGGTATGATGGAAGAGTTTTTAATGAAAGTGGAAGTGGAAATGGAAGTGGAAATAAAGATGGAAGTGGAAATGGAAGTGAGTTTTAAAACATGTTTGGTGTAACCATGGAAGTGGGATATAAATTTTAATTAAAATACATTATTGTAATGTGAAAATACCAAAATACCCTTCGGTAGAGAGAAGAACTCCACTGTTCAAAAATCCCCTCCACACCAGATGCAACCATTCACCGAGAACCATCAGCACAGTCGAAAGAACCAATGATCACCATAAACAGATCCAGTAAAAAAGAAACATTGACTATGAATCACAAATTACACAATTGAATGATTAAAAGACAACAATATTCTAGTCTTGAGAAAGGAAATCAATGAAAATGGTAGAATTGAAGTACTGGAGATTAACCCCCGAAGAGACCAAAATCGTGCTCCAAAGTCGAGACCAAAAAACTTCTCAAAGCAAGCAAATCTGTACAAGGTTCTTGTTTGGGGAGATTCATGAGCTTCAACATTTGCATTGTAAGCTTTGTTCTAAGATTCGCAAGCTTCAGTCATTACAAATGGAAATCAAAGAAAGAGAAAGTGGAAGGAAGAAGACAAGGTCGAAGGGAGAACATGAGATCTGGTGGAGAATAAGCAGCCATGGAGGAAAAGAGTAGAGATGAAATCCGCACCACTCCTCTGCCGCCGTCCTCTATGCTCCAGATCTCATGCCAGTAGGAGCATCGCTGGAGGCTTTGAGGAATCTGTGAGCCTCGGCTAAGAAGAGGCCGTCTACCGAGTGGTCAGTGGCATCGACGCCGTCGATCATCGTGCTCACCAGAATCATCGCCGTCTGCCATCATGCTCGCGGGTGTTGAACAGTGGGAAGGGTGGGGATGGGGGCAAAATAGTCACAGAGCCAGTTCCATGAGAAGTGGAACTGGGTTCCTGGTGGGGGACCAAGGAAGTGAGTTCCACCGATTTTGATGGAAGTGGGAGTTCCATGGAAGTGGCTTCCAGCATACCAAACATCTTAAATTCCACTTCCACTTCCACTTCCCTCCCTCCCAATTCCATGCTACCAAACGGGGCATAAACTTTTTATGTGACTATTAAGTACTCGTACTCTCTTTGTCTCTCATCCTACATATTAAAGAATCTATTAGGGATAAGTTGTTCCTATTTGTAGAGACACCAGCTTGTATCAAACTTTAAGTGTCACTTTTCATTTTTGCACGTACTAAATATAAAAGAATTTGTTAGGATGATATGTTCCTATTAATTATTGGTTAATATCACTGTATTGTTCTTTTTAATTAGAGAATCAAGCACTAACAAGTTAACGTGACAAGCAAAATCAAATACGTGCGCCGTTTATAAAAGGACTCTCATGACAGGTTACAAGACCAAAGGCAATGCATTAATTATTTGTTTGGCTCTCTAACTCTCTCCCTCAAAAGGTGTTTTTGAAAGGTAAATTGCATTTTTAAACATTTATTATATTTAAATAATTTTAATCAACTTTTTTATCTACGTAATTCGCTAATTACTTGTATGTTGTGTTAAATAGAATTAGAAGAAATATTTAGTAAGATAGGGTCGAATTCGACGCGGTAAAAAGGCCTAAACAACAAGACTCCTAGCATGATTTTTTTCACCCACAAGTTTAAAGGCAAGACTTTACCTAGTCTACATTATTTGACCGATTGACCTAATCACCATTAATATTGTTTTTTCAGTGTAAAATGAACATCAATACCCAAAAGAATTACAAGAGCACGATGGTTTTGACAAAACAAAAGAACCAAGGCATATTGTTCTATATTTTAATTTGGATTAACACCATTTTAGTCTCTAAAAATTGACTTCATTTTGGTTTTAGTCCTTGAAATTTGAAACAATAGTTTTAGCCTCTGAAATTTGATTTTATTTTAGTTTTGATTCCTAAAATTTAACCTCATTTTTTATTTCAGTCTTTGTTTTGGGGACTAAAAATTTTAAACCGGACCAAGGAACCAAAACCACTAATTTAAAATTTGAGAGACCAAAAATGAAAATAAAGTCAAATTGTAATGACTATAAGTGGTATTGACCCTTTTAATTTTGTCCAAGTTCTCACCACTTTTTGTTCTCCCTTTTTAACACAAAGAACACTTTTTGAATTTGATATTTTAAATTTATCTCAAATTCTTTTTTTGATTTATTCCAAATTAGCTACTTAATTAACCAAATTATGCTTGTTCTTAACTCTAACAAACGGGCCGTTATAGGCCAGATTTTTTTTTTTTTGTCAAAGTTATAGGCCAGATTCGAACTGCCTCTTCTTAAAAGGATCTTCACCGACCATATATAAAATCCCACGGCTACCAATGAGCCTACTTTCATTCTCCTTTTTTGATAACTTCCTCTTCTTCTTTTTCTCGGTGACATAACTTCCTCTTTGGATATGGGACTAAAAACATTAAGGGAAAAGAAGTTGCCAACTGCCCTTATTATATATAGTGTTTCAGTTGTACATTTAATTACATACATATATGACATATTTTATTTTTTATTATATAAAATTTTTTAAGGGGTTTGAATCTTCATAAGTTATAAAATTTGATGGTTTTTATTTTAATGTAATTGTTAGTGGGTTTCATACATTTTCATTTGGGAAAATCTTCCCAAAAAAAAAAAATAGCTCCTGAATTTCAAAATTTCAAATCAGTCTTGTTTATTACATTTTAATAGCAATTAACTATACTTGAAAAGCAAATAACAAAATATTTTTGTAATAATTATTAATCTGGGATTTGAAATTTTAAAAAGTATTTTTTTTGGAATTTTTCGTTTTCATTTTTTTTAAATTAATAAAAACATATTAAAATCTAAACTAAAGTCTTGGCAATATAATGGAATAGGTCCCACATTCCTTTTTTCTTTTTTATTCTTAGTGAAACAAAAGTATTCTCAAGTCACATTAGACTTGATTAATCCCTTTCGTACCTGAAGGGGTTAAGAAGTAACCCTTCCAACAAGTGCGCTTTCCAGAATTTGAACTTGTGTTTTCCTTTTTATGGGGGTGAGGCTACTACTATCTCAACTAACAGCTTGTTAGTCCGCATTCCTTTGTTTTTATTAGCATAAAAATGATAATTACTCAAGTTTCTGTAAAACCCCAACACTTTTTGGCTAAACTAAATCACACTATTGAAGAGTTACTTGTTTAACTAACACAGAAAGTGCTTTTCCATGTCACGTTTGAACCAATATAAAAGTTGCACAAATTTGCATGGCCTAATTACTCATCACTTTTAAAACTAACATTGAACATGAAATTAATCAGAAATACTAAGTTACACAAGCAAAGGAGAAGTCCATTTATTAATATTTCTCAGAATGCCAAAACCTACGAATCAAACTAACAATATATGATTCAATTGTACTACCTCACACTTACAAGAATTGCACTTCGAACATTGTGTGTTTCATCTGACCAGACCAACGATGAAGAAAGCACTGCTTTTGGTGATTTTCCTCCAACAATTGTAACCACAAAAGACTGTTTCTCATTCATAGACTTGAACGACAAAGTTTGAGGTTCCACTTTGATACTCATTTTTGAATTTGGTGAAACAGTCACTTTGTAGTTCGAGTTAGCAGATCCAACTTTTGTGACTGTTCTATTAACCTTGACATTGAAAGGCTGCATTGTCTGAACTGTAATTCCCAGTGAAGGATAATTTGTGTTCCGGACCAAAGATCTATCAGGAGATCTAGGACATGTGACACTTCGATCTCCAGATATTTGTTTAGTTGTTGTATGATCATAACCTAGGTTGCATGACATTTGTATGTAATCTTGCTTAGAAAGGTCATAAACTAACCCTGGATCAGCAGCTTGCACAGGATTAACATGTCCTGATCCATAAGCAAACTCACCAACATGATCATCATTATCATTAGCAGCAATTTTCATAGGTTTAGCTGTCGGCATGATCGCAGATCTGATGGCTGCCGGGGACCAATCTGGGTGAAAAGTTTTCACATATGCAGATATTCCAGTAACATGTGGGCATG